GTACCAACAAAAGACTGCCCCCACCAAATACGAAGTAAAGCATGAAGCAGCCCACCCTCAAAGTTTGCCTGGAGGAGGTTGAGCTGGTTTGTGATTTCAGTGGGATCAGGAAGTCTTGGGCTCCTTGTGGCCATGGAGGTGTGAACACCCCAGCACCCTCAGCATGACACCAGTGTTTAAAAACACACATTTCCCCTACAATCCTGACCCTAAACAAGGCCAACCGCTTCATCCGGGGCTCAGCCATGATGTTTCCCTGGAAGAGAGGGTATGTGATGCTGTATCTGTATGAGGTCATTTATAGAAAGCCATATATGCTACACTTACTCATTAATTTGAGGGAGGCCTCCTGCACTTTTGCTGCCTTTAGGGCCTAATATCTGGGTGAGATGTGGTTCCACTATCATCCCATTTCAGTGCAAGGGTGGCGACAATGCTGGGGTTTCCGACTTTTCCCTCAGCCATGGAACTCTTTCTTCAAATCTGACTTATGTAGGAGCCAAGAATATATTTAATAGATAGTCTCACTCCATCGCCCAGGCTGGGGTGCAGTGACACACTCATGGCCACCCCAGTGTCGACCTGCGGGGCTCCCACGATCTTTCCGCCTCAGCCTTCCAAGTAGCCAGAACGACAGGCGCGTGCTACCATGCCTGGCTAAGTATCTTCTTTAAGAGCAGTGTCAGCTGGGATAGGTGGCTCAGCCTTGGGAGGCAGAGACGAGTGGATTGCCTGAGCTGGTGAGTTCAAGACCAGCCCAGGAAACTTGGCGAGAACTCATCAGTGCTAGGACAAGTTGCCTTAAGAACCAAATATCAGCCCGGCTCAGTGGCTCAGCCTATAATCCCACACTTTGGGAGACTGAGGTGAGTTGACTGTCTGAGACCGCGGGTTCGAGACCTGCCTGGGCAACTTGATGAGACCTCATGTCTACAATAAAATAAAATTTTAAAAAATCAGCCGGGCATGGTAGCACGTGCCTGTAATTCCAGCTACTTGGAAGGCTGAGGCGGAAGGATCGCCCGTCACCCAGACTGCAGTGCAGTGGCCGCTCCCAGCCACCACAGCCTCGACCTGATGGGTTCCGGCGATCCTTCCACCTCAGCCTTCCAAGTAGCGGAACTACAGGCGTGTGCTACCATGCCGGGCTGATTTTTTGATTTATTGTAGAGATGAGGTCTCGCCAAGTTGCCCAGGCGGGTCTTGAATCCGTGAGCTCAAGCAATTCACTCACCTCAGCCTCCCAAAGCGTGGAATTACAGGCTGAGCCACCGAGCCCGGCTTCCCCACGTATTTTTAAAGTCTCTCACTACATACTATACATAACTTGTTAGACCACATCAGAACTTTTTGGAGAAAGACAGATCATAAGTTAATTAATTAAGCTCCATTTCTCACAGTGCTATAAATAGTCACGTTTTATGGGTTGAACTGTGTCCCCTAAAGATGCTCAAGTCCTAATCCCTGGCACCTGTGAATGTGACCGCATTTGGATAGAGAGTCCTTGCAGATAATCACGTTAAGATGAAGCAGTTAGGATGGGCCTTAAACTGTCCTTTATAAAAACGACAGATTTGGACACAGAGCTAGACACACAGGAAGAATGCTGTGAGCAGACTGAGGCTGCGCTGCCCCAAGCCAAGGAACTACCAGGAGCGGGACAGGGGCTTGGAACAGATCCTTCCACAGTGCAGAGGCTGGCCTTGCCAGCACTTGACCTTCAACTTCTGGTCTCAAGAACTTGACACAATATGTTTACGTTGTTCGAGCCACTCAGAGGGTGACACTTGTCTATGGCATCCCTAGGAAATGAATACAGTGTACCAGATGACTTTAGTTGAGACATGGTCTAGCTGCAAAAATATTAACAGTAATATATATTAATGAGCATTAGGAAAAATATGACAAGTGACTCAATGCTCTGACTCTTCAGGCATATTATTGCTCAGGACGAGGCTGGTGTGGGCGTGTGTTAAGTGAGCAATAGTTCAGTCGGCACACAAGGGGCTGTTCAGTAGAGCAGTAAAAGGCAGAGACTATGCAGCCCAGGGTCCCCAACACTGACTTTGCCACTTATAGGCTGTGTGACCTTGGACAGATTCCTTAACTTCTCAGTGCCTTGGTTTCCTCTGTACAAGGATGCTGACAGCCGTACCTACTGCAGGGGGCCATGCGGATGATCAAAAGCAAGAGAACGTAAGTGGTACACACACAGCCCGGTAGCCTGTAGTGCTTTGTAAGTGCTGGCTGTTGATATGGAAAAAACTGTGATTGTGGTGCATACATGTGAAGGAGAGCCGCCCAGTCAGCTCAGCAGGACAGTGGGGAGAGGTCCGTGGCCCCCCGTGCCATACCCACCCCACTGGGGATCGGGGAACTGCATGCAGTGGCACACCACCCCGGGCTTCACTTGGTCAACAACTCGATTGGGAGGAACTTCAGAAAAGTTATTTGCATGTTTTCACAAGAATGGAGACAGCACTGCAGCACCAGCAGTCCAGTTGGAGGCTTAGTCCACTTGAGCAGCAGTCAGTGGGGCCACTCCAAGAGGTGGAGAAGAAACGTCACGCGGGATTGCCACCCCCTCCACCTGCTCTGGGGGCTCTGAGAGTGGACCCAGCCTACATCTCGTCCACAACCACCCCCATCTCCCTCTCAACTCCCCATCTGGCCCGAGCTGATACAGCCCAAACTCACCAAACTTTGACATTTTACATGCTCTATCTTGCCCTTGACCCCTACAGATCATTTCTCCATTATCTGCCACCAGTGTGACACCTGTCAGCTGCAGGGACTGCAACGTGCCGACTGGCTGGCTCCCACCTCTGCTTTCTGCAGGCCACAGGCAGGCCTCCTTCCAGGCTGCAGGTTCACCAAGGAGTCCCCAGGAACCAGTGTGCTACTAACTCTGCCCCATGGGATTCTGGTTCCTTGTGGTGAGATGTAGGCTCCGTGTGGCCGTAGCTCCTGGGCCACTCCCAACTGGAGCAGGATGCAGGTCAGAGACCTTTTAAGGGGGATCTCAGCATCATGTGGTTTGTGCATGCTCAGATCCCAGCTCTGGAGACCCAGGTGCTTGAGTCTCCCTTGCTTGTAAAGCCAACTCAGATTCTCCCTGGGTGTCTTAGCCTGTTTTCTGTTGCTTTCAACAGAATAGCTAAAACTGGGTAATTTACAAAGAAAATGAAACTTATTTCCAATGGTTATGGAAGCTGAGAAGCCCAAGGTCAAGCGCCTGCATCTGGTGAGGGTCTTCTTGCTGGTGGGGACTCTGCAGAGTCCCATGGTGGTGCAGGGATCATGTGGGGAGGGGGCTGAGCATGTCATATGCCAGCTCAAGACTCTCTTCCTCTTCTTACCAAGCCTCTAGACCCACTCCCCTGAGAACCCATTAACCTGGTCATCCAAACCCACCTCTTAATAATGCCACCCTGGGGATGCATTTCAGCAGGAGTTTTGGAGGGGACACATATTCAAACCATAGCATCAGCCACGTGAGAGCCCCAGGCCCCCTTCCCTGCCGAGTCCAGCTCCCCCAAGTCCAGGTTCCCAAGTCCAGGTTCTCACCCCAGGTTGCTCAGGATAAAAAAGGCACAGCTAGTCTTGTCCCTATAACTCCCTCCTAGGCAAGCCTGATGACTGCCAACACTCAAAGCCTGAGTTACCCCCTCTCCATCCCGAACCACCTGGCCTCTTCCCTGTCCCCTCGCATCCACCTTGGCTCCCCACAGGTGGGCTCCATGTGGCAGCCAGAGCGAACTTGTTAAAATGTCAACCAAGTCATGGCAGCCCCTGCTACAAAGCCTCAGCGGCTGCCGGTCAGCTATGTGAATTGTCTGCTCTGTGTCTCAGTTGCTCCTCTGTGAAATGGGGACAAATATAGAACCTACCTTAAAGGCTATTTATAAGGATTATACAAGACGATAGAAGCAAAAGCTTACAAGAGTAGCTGGTGCATCACCAGTGCTCACTAAATGCAGCCTCTCATTTCATTAGAAAAGAGAGAGATGGTCTTTTCACAATAAACCCTTTTGTACCTCCAGAATTTTGCACCATTTTCACATATTATTACCCATATAACGTAAGCAAATTCATGTAAAGGTAAAACAAAATAAAATAAGTTTTCAATTCTAACCATACCTTGGTTGAAGAATCAGAAAGAAGCTATGATGATTAATTGTATGTGTTGACTTGACTGGGCCACAGGGAGTCCAGATTTTTGGTCAAACTTTATTCTGAGGGTTTCTAAAAGGGCATTTTTAGATGAGATTAACATATCAGTCAGTAGAGTGAAGCAGACTGCCCTCCACAGTATCAGCGGGCTGTGTCCAGTTAGGAGATGACCAAACAGAACAAAATGACTGATGCTCCCCCAAGCATAAGACACTTCTCCGGGCTGGGCTCGGTGGCTCAGCCTGTAATCCCAGCACTTTGGGAGGCTGAGGTGAGTGGATTGCCTGAGC